CTGAGGACAGCAGCCATCAGTTAAATGGGCAGCTGAGGACAGCAGCCATCAGTTAAAAACGTGACTCGCTGAGGACAGGAGCCATCAGTTAAATGGGCAGCTGAGAACAGCAGCCGTCAGTTAAAAAGGTGACTCCTCGAGGACAGCAGCCATCAGTTAAATGGGTGCCCACTGAAAACAAAGGTGCTAAGTGACAGCTTGATGGCAGGTATGAGCTGGGCCCAGGGCTCCCAAAGCCAGAAGATGCTGGTGGTGGGAGAGGAGCCAGGCTGGCAGGTGGACGGGCAGGGTAAACAACCTCGTCCGCCACACCTGCTCACTTGGGCCAGACACCCACCTTTTCCACATGCAGTGCCAGCTTCACACCATTGTGCAGCCAGGACAAGGCCACAATGGGGTCCCCCTCCACCAGGCTGCCCACGTGGCTCTCCCAGCTGTTGGCGAGGTGGTCCGCCATGCTCCAGCACTTGATCTGCCCATCGGCATCAGCGGACAGGAGCCGGGAGCCTGTGGGGGCAAAGCTGAGTCACGAACCCCCAGCAGAGAAGCCAGCCTGGTGGACACAGAGCAGGGGAGTGGCACAAGGCGTGTTCCGGAAATGATTCTGGACACGGGGAACGGGAGGAGCAGTGGCTTTGCCACAGGTCGAGGGTTCGAGTCCCAGCTCTGGGCACTGGGGACATGCCCGGGGAAAGACAGAGCATGCTGCTCCGGGAGCCGGGGTCGAGGGGCACACGGGCGTCTCCCCGGGCCGCGCAGACCCCGGGCCCACCCTCACCTGACTGGTCCCACTCGAGGCAGGTGATGGCCTCGCTGTGCTCCGAGCTGACGGAGTGCACGTCCCAGGGGTGCTCCGTGTCCAGGATGTGGATCATGCGGGTCAGGTCTGCGGGGGAACAGGGCGCCATCAGCAGAGCAGCAACGACACAGCCCCCAAGCGCCCGACCACCAGGCGGCTCAAGGAGGAAGCCAGTGGACGGCCCACCCGCAAGGAAGTCACAGAGCCGCCGCCAACCATGCCAATGCCCCGGGGCAATCGAGGACCAGGCTCATGTCCCGCCTGGAGACCGGAGCAGGCCTGTGACCATGCCACCAGTGCGGCTATGACCACGTTTTTAAGAGAGACACAGAAAAGAGAATTGCAAGAAAATGACCCCAAAATGTTAACAGTGAGCGTCTCTCCATGGAAGGTAACGGCTGGTTGTTTCTCTTTATCCTGAATTTCTGTGCTTTTCTGGTTTTCTCTGACGACGGAGAGAAGACAGCAGCTGCCATGCACGTTAGACGCTACATTAAAGCCGAACGATGACATGTTTGGTCCAGAAGACTGGGGATCCCGCCCCTCACCCCACTCCATCCCGAAGGGTGATCCCAGCATCCCCGGGCACCGGGCGTGGGAGCGCACCGCAGCTGCCCTGTGCACCCTGCGGAGCTGGGGCCGTCACATCCCCAGGAGCGGAGGGCCTGGACGGTGAGGGTGCTCCCTGGCAGGCCTGGGGACCCTGAGGACCCCACAGCAGCACTGTGGGGGCCAGGCTACGACACTGTGTCCAGGGGCCGGGGGCGTACCCTGGTCGTCATTCCGGAGATCCGTGGTGAAGGCGATGAGGTTTCGGCAGGACCAGGCACAGGCCAGGGGCACCGACGGGCAGTGGGTGCTCTTGGGCCATTTTTCCCACTCGCAGACGTAAGCCAGATCCATGGTGCCCGCCTGCCACGGCTCCCACGGCGAGAACAGTCACCGGCTCCTGGGGGAAGGAGGAGGGCTGGCTCGTCATCCACGTTCACGGAGAACCTGCAGGGCACCGAGTGTGGGACAGGACGCCGGGTGACCACAGGGAGTGTGTCTAGTGAGTGTGTGTCTGTGTGTGTGTGTGTGTATGGGGGCCGTGACAGGGAGGCCTCACCAGGGAGAGTATACTGAGCGTGGGTATGAGGGAGCGAGGCAGGCAGATGTCTGAGGAAAGAGCATTCCAGGTGGTGGGAACAGCCAGTGCAAAGGCCCAGAGGCTGGATGGAGCCCTGGGTGTTCATAGAGTGGCTGGGTGGCCGGAGTGGCTGGAGCAGAGTGAGTGAGGGGATGGGGCAGGCCGTGCAGGGCCCCGAGTGAGGTGGGAGCCTTGGGAAGGCCGTGACCCATCTATGTTGCAACAGACCCTTCTGGCTGTCTGGAGTGCGCAGCTAGGGGATGCAGTGGGGACTGCACTGGTCCGGGCGGGCAACGACAGGGCCAGTGGATACTGCAGGGAGAGGTGGGACCCCCCGTCTCTACCAGAAACATGCGAGAGCACGGTGGTGCTGCCTCTGGCTGAGATGGAGAGACAGGTGGGGAGTGGGCAGCTTACTGGGGGCGGCCGGGTGGCTCTCCACATGCCCAGCCCCATTATAGGTTGTTTCCTTTCACCACAACAGAAACCCAATGAGATGGAAGAACCACCTACCCCATTTCTTTCAACCACCACCCCCAGGGCACCCTATTCTTCCAGCGTCGCCCCAGAACACCAATGTCCCACCCACAAGCCCTCAATCCCCATCCCCTACATTCTTTGCTTTCCCAATTTGCCCCCCGGAGCCCCCAAGCCCGGCCTAAACTCTCGGGCTCCAACCCAGGGACCCCAAACAACCCCTAGGTCCCACCCCCAAGCCCTCCAGCCCCGCCCAACACTTTTTACTTTCCAGACTGCCCCGCCAAGTTCTCCAGGTCCTGACTCTACTTCCCCCCTGGAGACCTCAGATCCTACCCCAGGGACCCTACATGATCTCCAAGCCCCGCCCCCAAACGCCCATGCCCGCCCCCAACGCACCCCAGGCCCCGCCCCTCAGGAGATACACTCTCCAGGCCCCACTCCCAAGAGACACAATCTCTCGGGAGCTACAACCTCCAGGCCCCGCCCCCGGGGAGTTACAACCTATAGACTCCGCCCCTCAGGAGCTACAACCTCCAGGCCCCGCCCCCGGGAGTTATAACCTCTAGGCTCCGCCCCTCAGGAGCTACACCCTCCAGGCCCCGCCCCCAAGTGGCCCAGGCCCCGCCCCCAAGAGTTACAAGTGCTAGGCCCCGCCCCCCGGGGGTTACAACCGCTAGGCCCCGCCCCCAAATCGCCCCAGGCCCCGCCCCCGGGAGTTAGAGCCTCTAGCCTCCGCCCCTCAGGAGCTACACCCTCTAGCCCCCGCCCCCAAGTCGCCCAGGCCCCGCCCCCAGGAGTTACAACCGCTAGGCCCCGCCCCCCGGAGTTATAACCTCTAGGCCCCGCCCACAAATAGCCCAGGCCCCGCCTTCATAACCCCAACTCCCCGAACTCACCGCGACCCCCACTTGGACTCATGCTTCCCCTCAAGTCTCGGCCACAACCCCCGAGCCCGCCCAGCGCGCGCCAGCCCGAGTACCCAGCACCCTTTGCTCTCCAGACCCGCCCTCTGACCCCACAGGCCCCGCCCCGGACCCGCGAAGCCCCGCCTTCTCCGGGCCGTGCTCTCCGGGGCCGCGGGCGCCGTCCGGAAGCCGTCTGACCCCCCAGGCTCCGCAGCCCCGCGCTCACCGGGCCAGCCGAGCGCCCAGCCGAGCAGACGGGCCGCACTCGCCCTAACGCGCCGGCTCCGGCGCCGCCATCCTCCCCGCGACCAACGAGACGTCCGCGCAGCGCGGCCGCTTCCCGGAGGCTTCTGGGACGGCGGCGGCTCCTGCTCTGCCGGCTTCCGGGTTATTTGCATATGCTTATTAATAATTCCCAGCAGCCACCTGAATTGTATTTGGTAGAACAAAGAACACTTTCTCAACTCCGGTGCGTGACCCCATTTGGCTACGCTATGTGTTGCGCTGATACCTAAAAAATAAGTGAGTTACTGAACTGGTTCAATGAAATTCACCCTTAGTGTAAAGTTGTTGATAATTTGCACTATAAATATCTCTCTGGGCAAGTTGTTGTTCGTGCTCGCTTCGGCAGCACATATACTAAAATTGGAACGATACAGAGAAGATTAGCATGGCCCCTGCGCAAGGATGACACGCAAATTCGTGAAGCGTTCCATATTTTGCGCCTTGTTCCTTCTGGTATCCGCGGGTAGAGAAACTTTTTCTGATATCTACGGGTGGGGAAACTGAGGCTTGATAAGCCAAGTGACTTACCCAATCGAGGGCCCTTCTGGCTGCAAACCCCATCCCGGACTCCTCCAAAAGCTGGTCCCATTCGCATTTGCTTTACATTTCTTTTTTCTTCTATTGAGGTCACATTGGTTTACAACATTGTATAAATTTCAGGTATACATCGTTATATTTCGATTTCTGTGTAGAAGACACAGTGTTCACCACCCAAAGACTAGTTATCATCCGTCACTGTGCACCTGTGCCCCTTTACCGGTGTTGCCCTCCTCCCACACCCTGCCTCTCTGGTAACCACCAATCTCCTCCAAATTTATGTTTGTTTATCTTCCACATATGAGTGAAACCACGCGGTGTTTGTCTTTCTCTGTCTGACTTATTTCGCTTAACATAATACCCTCAAGGTCCGTCCACGTTGTTGCAAATGGCATGACTTCATTTTTTTTATCGCTGAGTGATATTCCATGGTGTGTATATACCACATCTTCTTTATCTATTCTTCCCTTGATGGGCACTTAGGTTGCTTCCAAGTCTTGGCCATTGTGAATAATGCTGTGATGAACATAGGGGTGCATGTATCTTTATGTATTTGTTTTTTCATGTTCTTTGGATAAATACCCAGCAGTGGAATAGCTGGATCATATGGTATCTCTATTCTTAACTTTTTGAGGAATCTCCATACTGTTTTCCATAGTGGCTGCACCAGTTTGCACTCTCACCAGCAGTTCGTGAGGGTTCCCTTCTCTCCACATCCTCTCCAACACTTGTTGTTTCCTGTCTTGTTAATTATAGCCATTCTGACAGGCGTGAGGTGGTATCTCAGTGTAGTTTTGATTTGCATTTCCCTGATAGTTAATGATGTTGAACATCTTTTCATGTGTCTGTTGGTCATCTCTATGAAAAATGTCTGTTCATATCCTCTGCCCATTTTTAAATTGGGTTGTTTGTGTTTTTGTTGTTGAGTTGTGTGAGTTCTTTATATATTACGGAGATTAACCCCTTGTGGGATATATGGTTTGCAAATATCTTTTCCCAATTGTTAGATCATCTTTTCGTTTTGTTCATTGTTTCCTTTGTTTTGCAGGAGCTCTTTGGTCAGATGAAGTCCCATTTGTTTATTTTTTCTTTTGTTTCCCTTGCCTGAGGAGACATGGAATTCAAAATGATGCTGCTAAGACCAATGTCAGAGAGTGTACTGCCTATATTTTCTTCTAGGAGTTTTGTTTTCATGTCTTACATTCAACTCTTTAATCTATATTGAGTTAATTTGTGTATGGTGTAAGATGATGATCTATTTTCATTCTTTTGCATGTGGCTGTCCAGTTTTCCCAACACCATTTGTTGAAGAGACTTTCCTTTCTCCATCGTATGTTCTTGGCTCCTTTGTCAAAGATTAACATGTCCACACATGTTCTTTTTTCTCAGGATTCCTTTGGCTCTTCGGGGTCTCTTGTCCCATGCTTTACATTTCTGTTGTTCATAGCTGGGGAAACTGAGGCTCTGATAAACATGGTGACTTGCCCAGTCGAGGGCCCTTCTGGATTCAAACCCCATCCCCAGTTCCTCCTCCAAAAGCTGCTTCTATTCCTGCCCGACTCTCCCCAATTGGAAGGTCTTCTCCAGGAAGCCCTCCTGGGATTGCGGGGAAGGGCACACTGGGCAGAAGGCACTGCCTGGGCAAAGGCCTGGTTCTTGGGAATGGAGCTGGGGAAGATGGGTGGAAGGAAGCCCACCGCCCCACAGTGGCAACCGCGAGACTGGAAGGGCAGCCAGTGGGCGCCCCCAGAGGCCCCGCATGCCCGCCCTGCGGCCCAGCCCTGTCCCCTGGGAACCGGGAATTCGTGCCCTTCACAGACGGGGCCTCCCAGCTGGTGACCCAGTATCTCCTTTTGTCCTCCTCCCAGCCATTTGGGTTTCCCTCCTCCAGCAGCTATCTTTAAAACTTTGTAAATGTCCGTTCACACGGAAGACAGCGCCCCCAGCGCCCCACGCTGGCTTCGAACCCGGGCCCGGGTAGGAGGAGCCGGGCATCCTGAAGCCCAGAAAGTCAGGCCGGACTCACAAACTAAAAACCCCACCGGGATGGGGGCCTCCGAGAGACACAGGAGCCGCTGAAGGAGCTCTCGGCCGCCAAACCCGCAACAGTCTGAGCAACGAAATAAAGTGATGTTGGATTATAACCCAGACCAGAAAGTAAATACCCCCTCGAGCCTCCTCGTGTATGTGGTTGAATAAACACACGTGGAGAAGAGACAGTCCTCCCCTGTGGAATTCCCAGTAAATCAGGCAGAGGCTCTGCCCTCATGAAGACCGCTTCCCGAGGACAGTGTGGAGGGGCAGGGACCCCCCAGTGCAGGGCCCGAGTAGCACCCCTCCACCAGGAGGTCAGGGTCCCTGTCAGCAGGGAGGAGCCGCGAGGACAGCAGGGACCCCGATGTGGCGCGATGACAGGGCACGTCCCTTAGTCCGATCATGAGAAAACCCAGGCTGGGGACGTCCTGCAGGACACCGGCCAGTCCCAGACACACACAGGGAGAGGCCACGTGACGACAGAGGCAGAGATGGAGGGACACGGCCACAAGCCCAGGACGCCTGAGCCCCAGAGGCTGGGAGAGGCGGGAGGGAGCCTCCGGAGGGAGCACGGCCCTGCGACACCGTGACCTCAGATGTCTGGGCTCCAGAACTGGAGACAGTGTATTCCTGTGGTTTTAAGCCTCAGTGTGGGGTACTCTGTCCCCAGGAAGCTCACACGAGTGACTTTTTGGAGGTCACACAGCCGGGAAGTGGCGGAGCTGGGTCTGAACCTGGGCTCCCGGGAGCGGGACGAGCCAGGGGGGCAGAGCGAGCCCCCGATGCTCCCGGCAGTCTCCCCGGACACCCGCCTCACCCCTGGGGCGTCACTCAGTGCCAAGCCCCGTCCCCGAGCCTGCAGCCTCAATGACCAGGACCCCAGCGATCCCCAGCCTACTGCGCCCCCAGCCCCGCACCAAAGGGAACCCCACAGCTGAGACAAGAGCACCAGAAATTTATTGACTCTCCACTCTTCCCAAAGCACAGCTAGCCACACACGGGGGGGGGGGGGGGCAGCCCTGCTCTCGGGGGCCGGGCCAGGCGGCCCGCCAGAGGACACCCCAAAGCAACAGGCTGGGGAACATGGAAAGGGAACCGGGCAGTCCAAGGGCGGAGGCTTCTGGCTGGAAGTCCCGGACCCCCAGTAGGAAAAGACGGGAGAAAAATGGGGAAGGGCAGGGTATACAGCAGACAGGGCCCCAAGAGCCACCAAAAGACACCAGCGGGGGACAACACACATTCCAAAAAGAGGGTAAAACCAGCCTTTAAAACGCAGCTTCCGTCCTGGGTCGTGGGGCACGCGCACGCACACACAAGACGTAACACTCCCAGGGCGGGGGACGAGGCCCCAGAGACCCCCCCCATCCAAGCCAAAAACTGGGAGGGGGGTGTCAAGCAGGGACTGGAACAAAGCCCCCCGATTTATCAGTTGGGGCGAGTTTTTGGTTTTTCTTCCCAAAAGGGAAATTTAAAAATCTACAACAAATCACACCAAATTCATTAAAAGTGATAAAAAGCCAGCCTCTCCCTCCTCGCTTAAGCCTCAGACTGGACGGAGAAAGCTGAACGAAGAAGGAACATGGAAGTGACCAGGCCCGGTCTCCCCGCCCAAATACAAGTCCCAGAGCGAGGAGCTATGGGGCCTGGAAAGGCCAGAGCAGCCCCAGCCACCAGAGTTTATCTGGAAGGGCTGGGCAGGGAGGGGGCTGGGGTGAGAGAGAGCCACCCCAAGGGGAAGATGACGTTTCCAAAGACGAATTCTAAAAATAATGAAGATATTCTGGCGGGTGGCACGGAAGGTCCGGCGCCGGGGAGGCGGTGGGCGGGGCCCGGCGGGCCGCCATCAGCTGAGCTGCTCCAGGTAGGCGGAGAGGAGCAGCCCGGGCGGCAGGAAGTCCAGGTGCCGATTGCTGACCTTCATCTGCCGCCTGCCCTCCAGGTCAGCACCTGCGCGAGGCGCCAGCGGGGCGAGTGAGTCCCCACCTTTGCAGAGAAGCACCCCCGGCCCGGCCCCTCCGCCTGAGTCTGTGGGAACAAAGGCGGGCGTGGGGGCCGCAGGAGGCATCCAGAGGTTGCCATGGAAACCGTCTCCTTAGCAACTCCTGGCAGGAGGCGGAGAGACAGGCGTGGGGAGCGAGGACCCGATGGGGCGCCCAGGGCCAGCAGGGGCCTGCGAGGACCCTCCCTGGGGGGCCGTAAAAGCGGGGACACAGGCCCCCGCAGGGGGCACTTGGTGGAAGTCACACGTGTGGCACAGTGGAGGAGACAACGGCTAAATGAGAACGCTGCAGACACTGGGGTCTCCTCATCTCATCTCAGGGTCCCTGGGGGCCCAGCCTCATCCCCCAGGCCCCTCTCTGCTCTCGGCCCTGAAGAGGAGGACTGAGGGCTGTCTGTGGCCACAGCGTCACCCAGCGTGGGGCCAGGCGCACAGGGAGCTTCTGGTGAATTAACGCAGAGCCACTGCCAACCCTCTGCTCCCGCGGAGGAACCAGACCCCGTGTAACCCCGGCCTCGGTGTCCCCGGGCTCAATCGGCCAGCTGGGGTCTGGGGGCCGCCAGGCACTTACTGGCCGAGATGAGGTCCATGTACTGGCAGACGGCGTGAAGCAGGAGCCTCTCGAAGCTGTGGAGGAAGGGGCGGTGAGGGGCCGAGGGCCAGAGCCGGCCACCCGGGGAGCCCGCTGTGCCCGCCCCAACCCGGTCACCTGTTGTCCAGCATGGCCGTGTACACGGCCTGGGGGGACACGGAGAAGAACCTGAGCAGCCGCTCCTCCCAGGTCTCCAGCGTTTCCTGCAGGAGAGACGGGCCCTGGGGTCAGGCTGACTGTGGGACCCTGGGCAGGCTGTCCAGGCCCCCCAGGCCCAGGGCAGAGTCCAGAGTTCAAAGCCCTGGGTTCAAATGTGGCCTCTGACCCGCTACATGAGGCTACCTGTTTCCGAGGATACTAGGCACTTAGACATCTCCATATCTTTGAACGCCTGCACCTTCTGCCTGGTGAACTTCTACACATCCTACAGTGCCCACCTTCCTTGCCCCTGCCACTCCCATCCTCAAGGAGAGCCCTTGCCTGGCCCTGGGTCCTACACTCTGATCACACTGGTCTGTATCTCGCCCTGTCTCCATGACACCATGGCACACCGGGTAACCAGTCTCCCCTCGCCCCACCCTCAGTTGAGAAGTTGGGGTAAAAAGGCCATCAAAAAAGACCAGGCGGGTGGGGCCAGAGGAGGCCCAGCGTGGTACTCACCATGGGGATGCGGCTGCGCTTGAGGATGGCTCGCAGACGCCGGCTGATGCGCTGGAAGCACTCGCGGGGCGTGTAGGCCGGGTCCTCTGCAAGAGGCCAAAGTGTGGGGCAGCCGGTGAGGCCAGCCCCCGGCCCCAACACACCAGGCCCCTCCCCTGTGTCTCC